TTTCAAACAAAAAAGGAAGTACATATAGGTGTGGCTAATATCAATCCTTCAAAAACAATGCAAACAAGATAGTAGAGATGGCATTTGCATCATCCCTACATAATATAGATGATGCAAATACCATCCCTACTATCTTGTTTGCATTGTTTTTGAAGGATTGATATTAGCCACACCTATATGTACTTCCTTTTTTGTTTGAAAAGTTGTTCCTTTACTTGATTTTTTTTAATGCAATGTTTCATTATATACAGGAAGGTTGAAATTTATAACCAAGTTCTAAATACAATGAAGTTCCAACTGTAATATTTATTGTTTATCTATATTTGACTTAATAATATTTATAAAAGCAAATAATTCATCTGAAATTATATCACCTCAGTAAAATTGGTTGATACCATTATTTTGGTTTTTGAGTTAACATGTAATAAAAAGATGAACAAGAAATCAAAACTTTTTGCTATGATATTTACAGACATTCCCAGAACTTGTGACTCAGTCATTACATAGATATTGTTATAAAAAGAAACACTGTATAGTATTGTAATTGTACAATCCTAATTTTTAAAAATTATTAAGGTTTCATTTATTATACAAGTTTAAAACCCATTTTATATTCATGTATACACTTGACACTCAAGCAAGATATGGCCTAATGTAAATAATGTAAAACCAAACTTGGTGTGGTTGAGTGCAAACTGATCTAAGTATATCTCATCTTGTTTCAAGAAAAATATTTCTTTTCTTATTATACTATAATACATAATTGAAATGAAGTATAAAATGATAAAGCAAGCTTTTCACAAGCCTTAAAAATAATCAGAATAATAACTGTAGCCTAAACTATTTACAAATATATTTTCCAATAGCAACACACTACTGAGCTAAGCTTTTATCACTTTGTTCCAATTTCAACATGAATCTCTGCTGAACTGGAAGCCATATTTGTTTATACAGTTGAAAGTAACATAAAATCAGCTTTCATTACATGTTTAGATGACTAGCCTACAGTTTCTAAAAGCTGAAATATAGGCAATTATAAAACATCATGAGAAGAGGCTGAAAAACAGTAACTGGCTAAAAATCAATACAACTACAATTATGTTGAAGGTACAAGGTTCAGAGTAGTGTTATATTGTTTAAAACTATTTCAACATTTCTTCTAGGAGGCTACGAGTATTATACTCAGTAAAAATTCAGGGATTCCACAAACACTAATATTTTCATTCAGGGTATTTTGAAATCAAAATCGTTGAATTTAAAAATTTTCATGCATATATTTAAATAAAAACTCTCATTAAACAAATATTAATGTTGGAGTATCTTTCTAAAATAATGTGTGGAAAAATGACTACAAATATATTTTTATATAATTGCTTGAATTCATCATTGCATTTTTTGCCTCATGGCAGGATGTACCCATTTTAGTACCATAGGTTTAACCAGAAAAGTTCATTTCATATGAACAGTGTTAATTCGTTTGATATTCATCAATATATTTCTTTGAACACTTTACTTTGCTAAATGAAGCAATTAACTTCCCACTTTAAATCATACATACATAGTAAATGACTTGTACAGATATACTGTTCAATAATGATCACACCTTTCAATATAGTGACATTCTAACCTTTTTCAGATTTAGTAGCATGATATTTTGCCAATAAATAAAATATATCTTGAAAAAAAAAGTACCCCGTAAGTGGTTATGGCCAAAAATATTATTAACAGTGAGGGTACTCAACTGATGAAATGATGCATTCTAATCTTTATAAATAAGAATCTAAGAAAAGTAAACTTTATTACCTATAGTCATTACCAATACTAGGCTGAATTTTAATTTATCTTTAAGTAGGCAGTTTGCTCTAATGAAAGATAATATTAGTACAGGTTCACCATCACCTGTCCGGCAATCAGTAATCCGGCACTAATTTTGGCTAGAACAATTTCAAATACAGTGAAGCAAGATACGTGCTATTAGGTAAATACTTTAGTCTTGCTTGAAAGAATTAATCTGTAGTGTACCTGTGCCTGTATTTCATTAAATTTTTCACTTGAATATATTTGACAATTATCTTTTCTTTATTAATCAACTTGTACTGTTTTATGGGATATTTTAATTTTAAGATGAGGTGGTTAGCTCATAGATGACTAATCCGGCACCCTCCAGGTTCCGATGATGCCGGATTAGTGATAGTCAACCTGTATTCAGTTTTTCAATAAATAAGTTCTTGTACTTACATGTGTTGTTTGAATACAAGACTTAATATATTCAATGAAAATAGATTTGTTTTATCTGATTAGCAAAAACAAGAATTTTTTAATTAACTGGAAAGAATTTCAGAACTTTGTTTGAGGTCATCATTGGTCTTGACCACAATCAACCTCACATTCTTCAAAAGTGTTATGAAATTTGCATGCAGAACTATTGTAATTTAGGTTACTTAATGTTATTTAAAACTGAGTAACTCCCTCTTCTAATGATGACTGGTTTTAACCTGTATCCATTTTCAAAGTGGAGAACCAGTAAAAGTTCTCAAGGCTCTCTAGGCAGTGCAATAAATGAGATTAAATTCACAGCTGGATAAACAGAAAGCACAGAAAAATAAAAATGAATGTCAAGCTAATTTATGGTACCTCCTGAACTATACATATCAAAAACTTATCCAAGGAAAGTAATTAATAAAACTGAAAAAAAAAAAAGTTAAGACTGATGAATACACCACTTGCATCCTATAAGTATTTAAAAAAAAAAGTGATACAAGTTTATATTTGTAGAGGGTATGATTTATAACTTCTTACATACATTTTGTTTATGTTTCATGCTTTATGCAATCATCTTACCCCTAGTTCCTGGCTCAGAAGGTAAGGTTCCTGTGCTATTAACCAAGTCTCTGCCACAGTTGCATCTCTTGCAAACTGGTACACTTCCAGAACTAAAACAATATTCAAACATTATTCAATTTTGGAAATTTCTACATAAAACCCTCTCATTATGTATAATTTTAAGTCTAATCTATAGCATTACCAAAATATAACAACTGTTCAGCTACTCCTAAATTGTGCAATCTCTTATTTAACCCTTTCCATACAGCTGACACATTGTATGGTTTTAAACACTTTTCTGCGCAAATCACTGTGTTACATTCAAAATTTAATTAAAACATCTTTACTATCAATGCATGTAAATGAAATTTACATTATAATGTATGATTCAGAGTTTTATGTTGTCTAAGTTTAAGTCCTTTTTTTTCAAAAGAAAACAAACAAACTTAAAACTTCAGATGTATTGTCATGTGATCCATGGGCTATAAAAATTCCCTACTTTGGCACTCTGTATCTTCAATAATACACTGATTTTTGTGTGGATATACTTCTAGACAATAAGATGCCTACTTAACCTTTTGACACATACATAAAGATCTCTGGATGAATGCAGTTAAAACAAGTAATAACATTTGTCGACCCTGAACAGGTGCTAAGCTCACCTTCAACAGATTTGTTTGAGCTTTATATACTACATATAGAGGTTACATATGCATATTTATAGCCTTTGGAAAGAGCTCATTTCACACTATAATCTAACAATGGTTATTTTTGTGTGCAGTTGTCATCACAGAGTACTTGTAACTGACTGTAGTATTGTTGGCTGCTTGATCAACTATAGCAATTAAGGTTATTTCTTACCTAAATATGTTATAGTTATAAATACAGTTACATTGTATTTAGGTCTTACTTTTATATTTTAGTTAATTATGTACTATTTATGTTTGAAATGCATAATTGAAAGGTTTAAACATTTTTTAAATATACATCATACTTTGTGCCTGTTGTCAAGGCTTACAATATTATATGGTGCATGAAAATTTTACCAAAGGTTTGTGTATCTCTGCCAGAGACACTGCAATATGCCACAAGGGCACCATTAACTTTTGTTGAGATGAATAATAAAGTGTAAAGGACAAGTAAGGAAAATAAAACATTCAAAATTAACTATATATGTGAAAAGACCTGAAATTACAAATATAACCAATATAATATCTTTAAAGATATTTTACAAAAATTACTTTTTTCTATTTCCTAATTTGAATCATTTCATTGTATTGTATGTTGATGATAATAGCTAGTCAATGATATGGTAGAGAAAATGAAAAATAAAATATAAACATTTACTTTAAAAACTTTGATATTCATTCAGGAGATTCTACAGTTATACAAATGAAATACGAAAACTTTACGATGCAGAAAAGTATTTTTATACTTAAAATAAGAATCACTTTGCACTCAAACTATTATCAGTTTGAGTGCAAATAACTACTATAGGTAAATAATATTTTTTATTAGAAAGACGTAATTAAAATAATGTCATTCTTTGTGTACAACATACTTATAAACTTTAATAAAATCTTATGAGGTTTTGTGATGAACACTCAGAGTTACCGTATGTTTTTTGCATAAATGTCCTTTCCCAGTCAAGGTGATATGAAATGCATCAGCCCAAATGAAAAGGGTTAAAGAAGGCTTAAGAATGACATTGATACTTTTTTCAATTTAAAAATGGGCATTGTCATAGAAAACATTTTTTTATGTTATTTATCACAAGTTAGTTGTTAACCAAACTGATTAATTGATTATACATTATTTTTTGACTTCATACTACTGTTTGCCAATACCAAATGTAGAATGTTAAATCTTGTTTTTTAAAGTAAATTCCTTTGAGCAACAAATATTTAACACAAACTCACTCAGCTGTAGGTGTTCCCATCGTTCTTCCCACCTTTCCATCATGGAGGTCTTCTGGTTTGTTAGGGTTAACAATTTTTCTTTAATCTACATCAAACAAATTGTAATATTCTGTCAATCATGCTATGTATTACTACATAATTAATATATTTACACATGCAAATGATCAGTAAAATAAAAACACTGAAATATAATAAGTTAGACAATTAACAAGACACAGACTTGTATCTCATCATCTCACTAGTCATCAATGAATAATTGTTGTAGAGATTGAAAACAAATATATGGTTCACAGTCTCAGTGTAAAAATACTGTTCTTTCTTGTCCAACAATTCTATATGAGCTTACTTCAGCTGATGCATAATGATTCCTAGAAAGAAGTTCCTTCCCCAAGTTGATGCAGACAGAGATGTTATCTTCTCTAGCATCTATCTCTGCTTTCAGACTCTGATGGTTGTTCATTAGCAGTTCCACACCAGATACATCTCTAGCATAACAAAAGTTACAATTACTTGTCAATAATTGAAACCAGAAACACTTCTAGCATGAAAAAATAACCTTTATTCATCAATAACTCACAACAGACACATCTTTGGCATAACAAAATAATTATTCACCAACAATTCCACACCAAATACATGCTGGCATCACAAAACTTACAAGTATTCATAAAGACCTCAATACTAGATACATCTCTAGTATAACAAAATTAATTATTTGTCAACAGCTCCACACCAGATATGTGCTGGCATCACAAGTGGCAACTACATATCAATAGCTCCACAGCAAATACAACTCTAGTATAACACAAATGAAAATTATTAACCAAAAGCTCCACACCAGATACACATCTAACAACACTAAATTTACAAATATTAATCAACAACCTCACTCTGTGTATGCCTTAATGATCATTAAAAGAACAACTTGAGAAACTTCAAATCAAACACATCTAAGGTATCACATAAAAATTACAACTGTTTATGAACAGTTTCCCCCACATACATGCATACACAGACAACTATTTCATTTTCTCCCGATATTCACCTTCTAACCCTCAAAACGTTTAAAACAGTGAACTAATTTTAATTTTTTATATTTTGAAAAGCAATGTCGAATCATATTTTTATTTTTCTACTTCTAATGTCATATCCACACTTACCTTGGTTTTTCTGATGTATTCATCTGTCTGATGACATCATCCATCCATAACATGAGGTCTCGAACCATATTGAGAAATCTGAAGAGATCTCCAGTATCGGCAAGTTTCACTCTTCTGTTTTCACACATGGACAACAGTACAAGCCAGGCATTTACTACATCACCCTCTCTGCTTGTGATTTCCATAGCTTTGTCACCAGCATAAGCAGTTTGAAGATCTGCAGATTCATCTTTGATTTGCTGGACCTTTAGAAAACGACGTTTAGAAGTCACTGATTCTTAATGAACAAAGTCATATAGGTCTTTGTATTTTATTAATTGAAGACAAAAATATATTTAAGAAAATTAATTATGTTAACTTTATTATCCTGGTAAGAATAAGGTGGTGCTAACTACGATGTTAAGGTGACACAGATGTTTAATTTTAAGAACCTAAAATAACTAAAGACAAAAATGACAAAAACCCAGAGAATTACAGTTCCGAATATTATAAATGCTGTCTAACTATATTAACCCTATGTAAATAAATAAATTAAAACCCTCAGCTGTCTGCTCAAATATTTGACCAACAAGATGTTACATTCAAATCCGAAGGCTTCAAAGTATACAATACATTTTTGTTGGCCTTATTCAAACCAGATTTTTTTTTTAATGTTTACTTTCTCAGAATATTTCAATAAAGTAGCTTACATATTAAGAAATTATATAATATTTATTCACTTTATTTTCCAACTTAGTTATTCCATGACCACATTAATTCTAATATGCAGTTTCTTTTAAATGGAAAAAAAGTTTTCAGTATAAAATCTAATTTTTATAAATTTATTTTGCTGCCATTCACTGCATAGTTTTTCAAGCACTATCTATTTTATTCTGTGTAAGACAGATTAGACTGTAGTGTCTGATTAACAAAGCACCCTAGCAAAACCCTTAAGTTAATTTACTACAAAAGAGAGAGCAATTAGCACAATACCCTTAAGTAATCAAGGTTTTTACAATTAGTCCAGTTTTGACATATTTTTTAAAAGTTGTAGAAATAATCTAGCAACAACAGGAAAATAGGAGATACAGATACGAGTATTTGTAATAATCCAGTATTTTTCTGTAATCTATATTATTATAATAAAGCATATTTTATAGGAGTTACAAAAATGGTTGAAACTATTCTAATTCAAGAGAGTAATGGCATTCAGGAAGTTCTAAGTAAGTTTTTAATGTTTCATGTAATGTTCTTGAAATCAAGTGGCTTGTACCTAGTGTAGAAAGGGTTAGTGAGTTTTTGAATTCATTTTAAGAAGGCTCCTTCATTCTGTAACCAAACAATAAAATATAGTTGAAATTTATAAAAATTGTTAATACAGCAAGCTCAATACTACATCAAATATTTAATTTTATCACATAACTAATCAAAGTTAGCTGAAAAGTAAAAATAACTTTGAATATCATGCCTACTACTTACAGCTATCTCTAGTGTCTGTAAATCGTGTTCAAAACTGCCATGTTTCCGCTGGAGATGTGAAACACTAACAGCGTCTCTACCAAGTTCATCAGAGAGAGCATTTTGTTTTTCCTTTAAAAATGAATAAATAACTTGTACACAGCCAAAATTATCAATCTTTATTGTAAACAGTGAAATATATGTACTTGTTATCAAAATTAGATAATATTCTTATTAACTATTTTAAGATAACATAGTACCACAAATCTGTACAAAATGAACATAAAATTTTTTGCTTGGAAAATTCTATATATTTGTCAGTCAGGTTCTACCCTCTTCTATTTCTGATAAGGGAAAGATCTCATACTTAGTAACATTTTAGAGCTTTACAGTTTTCTTTAAAATACATTAGCCACAAAAACATCAATATTATAAGAATATTGATTGAAAATTACTATAAGTTATATGTTCTGTTTTCCCAAAGTACTTAAAATTTAGATTTTGTTCAGTCTAAACAATTCATTAAAATATGCATAAGAGTACATAACCGGAACTGACCAGAATGCGAGCATAAACATCTTTACAGTCATGGAAAAATCTGTGTAATCGCCAGGATGCAGCCAACATCTGTGTTCGAGTATCAATGAGTTCCAACAGGTCTGCCCAGGCTTCATTAAGTGTATCTTTCCATTCGGCAATGGTTGCACTGTCTGAATGACCAATGTTGATCAGGTGGTCAGCATTCTCATTTGCATTTGTCACACGCTCTGTACCAATTACCTCAGTGTCTCTAGCAAACTCCTTGAATCTGTCACGCAGCATCTGGATTTCACAGTACACAGATTAGCATTATTTTGAAACTGATATTACTGAAAAATAACCAGTACATAATTTACAACTATAAAAAATAATACTGTTATCCATGATGCTAAAGATCACAGACTTTCATCACTGGTTATTCTTTTACAAATGCTAAACTTAAACACTGAAATTGTACATGTAAAATACAAAGTATTTCATGGTAAAAGTACAAAATATTGTTGCAAATTTTTACCTATTCCTAGTCCAGAAATCACACATTTTAAAATATAGCACAAAAAAACTAATAATCAGTCGATTTCAATAAATTAGGTATCTTGCAAGAAAAGTAATAAAAGTGAAAATATATGTTGTTTGCATTCAAAGTTAACAGGCCAGATGATTACAACAGGGATTAGAGCACCACAAATCCGGATTGGTCACCATTTTAATTTTTCTTGAATATTCTAAAATTCTACAGGTTGGTGACAATCCTAATTCTTTTTTTGTAGTCAACACTGAATGTTTTTAATTTCTTATTACTAATTCATTAAATAATTAGTGGGTCAACTTGAAGATAATTAGTCATTATGATAACACTGGTTGCAACTTAAAACAGCAGCAGTCTATAAGCAATAACAATTAAGAATTTGTGATGGTTCGGAGTCATTTTCTTATTTTCAGATTTTGATTAATTATTGATATAAACAGCTTTTTAAAACCTTTTTCTTTATTTCTTTTTGCTACAGAATTATGGGTAACTGACATGTTTCAAGAATGCTTAACAGGTAAGCTATAGCTATAAATGTTAACTCTGGTTAAAAACAGATATTTGAAGTGTTTTGGAAAGATTATTAATAATAATGTTCAAATTCCAGTAAAAATATAAGTAGCTTAACCCTATCGCCCCAAGTGCCCCTTACTGCACATGACAAGGTTTTAGTGTCTTACATTCAAAATTTTATTAAACTACTTTTTGTTTCTGTTATACCAATTAGAATAGCATAAAATCTTAGCTCATAATCCATATTTTAATAGTATACAAGTCTACAAGGGAATATTTAAAAAAATCCTGAATTTCCACGAGTGTGATCCACATGACATATTTTGTTTTAGCATGGCATCATCCCTATTTTATCCGTCACCCCTCGAAAATGTACAAAATTAAACGTAAATTATTCTCTATAAAATCGTTATTGCTCAGTCAAACCATAATTTTTATAGCCTTCAAGTCTGTTTGGTTCCAGAACTATCGAATAGAAAATCAGACCCCTCATGCCACACCCTCTCTTTCACAATTTGTTGATAGTTCTCTCTT